TTTGTGATTGGGGATACTGTCAGAAAGTGCATAAAAAGCATCTCTTTGAATGCCCAACATACAGAAGCACTCAGTACAGTGCACTGAAAACCAGAATGGAGCATTCCTTTGGTCCCCCCATTCAGATTTTCTTCTTGTCATCATATAGAAACTCACATTGCATGGTCCACTCCTGTGTTACAGAGCAGAGCCCATGGTAACTTTAAGTCATAAAATACACATCCCTAATTCAAAGATCAAGTGTTCAGTTCCAAAGGATTTGTCAACTCCTCATTCTTCATTCAGAGATGGCTTTCCTTTTGTCCCCTAGATACTTATGCCATCAGGGTTCCAGGAGGGAGAGAGAAAATCGGAGGAGAGAGGTGGAAGAGAGGACACTGAAATTCTCATTGAAGTGTTGACTGACACTATCTTAAGTAAACCTGGCAGGTGGCTGATGTCAGCTTGCCCTCCCAACAGTTTTGCTGCCTTGACTGTTAGCTGGGCTTCTACTGAAAAATGCCTCTGATGTGGACCATGTAAATTTTCCTTTGACTAGCCATTTCTGCTCATCAGGTTCCCACTTACTATTTCACCTCACTGTTTTGGGGGTTCCCTCACCATTGACAGGAGTCTTATTGGTCAGAAAAATCTTGGGTGGGATATCTTTGACAACGATCCCTTGCTATGTAGCCAATGCTATCTTAAATAGAGCACCTAAAAGATCAAAAAGTTGTATTTCATTAGGACTGTGTAATTTCCATTTGGGTATAGAAAGTTGAAATATCACTTCCAGTTTCTTAACTGCAAAAAAAAAAAAAATGCTGAGTCACCTATATCGGGACTTTTCTTAGATTTGTCAGAAAGCAGAAGTCATGGGGCAGCAAGGTAGCTAGAAACTTAAGATGCAGGAGAGATGCGATGTGAAGACAAGCTTACCTGTGGCAGACCACCGAGGAAGACGAGGCCACCAAAGCAGATGAAGAGATTGCAGCTGAAACTTCATAAGGAATAAATAAACTTGAATGATTTGAACAGTTTGGCAGAGCTTGAGCGTATAGAACCTTTAGAAGTCACAGACACAGGTGAATTTTCACTCATAAGCTTTCCTCCACAGATCTCACAAGACGCTCACGAGAAACAGCAAGGCCAATCTAGGCAAGAGGGAGCCTATGAGATGGGAACAAAAGCCTGTATCTGCTGGGGAAGACCAGCAAACCCATCAGGGCACATGTGTAGGCCCCTGCTGCTGGAGGAAAGGAATGGAGAAGCCCTCTTCTCCTGGAAGAGGAACAAGAATTGTCCTCAGAACGATCACCAAAGGCAAGAGTCAGAGTTTTTGTATCATGGGAAAAACAGCAGGATCACTGAGTAGACCCTAGTCCTAAGACCCAGGAAGATACCCCCTGCCTGTGGCTGACACTGCAACAGGGAAGCAGAATGCCAGTTCCCCATCAGACTAGCAAATGTCTACAACCATCTAGGGCAGGGGAAGCAATAAGAGTGTGGCAAGCTATCCTCTCGAATGCACAGACTCATGCCCACCAAAAGCAAGTAACACTAATTGACCAAAACTAGATACAACTGGTGAAAGGAAAAGTTGATATATCCATATAGTAGGATACTATCCAGCAATAGAAAGGAACAAACTATCAAAGTAAAGTAATATGGCTGAAACTCAAATGCTTTGTGCTAAATGATGAAAGTCAGCCTCAAAAGGCTACATTTTTATGACATGATGGAATGGCCAAAACCATATGGATGGAAAGAGATCGGTGGTGGTCAAAAACTGGTGGACTGCAAAGGCCTATGAAGGATTTTTGAGGGGTAATGAAAGGTTCTACATCTTTATTATATGTATATGTCAGGCCTTTTTCAAAACTCACAAAAATGAGGGGGTTACATATATATTATATCTCAAAGACACTTAAACAGAACTTCATTAAAATTAAGTTTTGTTCATCCAATGACATTATTAAGAGAGTGAAAAGTCATTGATTGAGAGAAAATAAAAGAGCTTGTATACAGAATATATAAATGAATAACAGAGAAGTAGACAACCCAATGTAAAAAAGTAAGTGAAAGACTTGTGGACATTTTACGAAGAGGATACCCAAATGGATAATGAGCATGTGAAAAGATGTGTGGCCTATTTAAGTGCCCATGAGAACCATAACGAGGTACCAACACTCAGTCACCAAAGTAAAATTAAAGATTGGTAATTCCAAAGTTGGTGAAGATATGAGACAACTGAAACTGGTTGTAAACCTATTTTGACTGTTTCCTAATGCTAAATACACCTGAACCTTAAAGATCAAGTATTCTATTGAACTATCTAACCGAAATGAGTAGATATGTTCATGAATGTTCATAGCATCATTTTATCATAACAGCAAATCTGGAAACTGAAAATAGCCATGAACAGGAAAACAGAAATAAATTGTAGTATATGTTTACAATTAAATATTACACAGAAACTAAATGATAAATAACATGCAACAAGGATGAAACAGATACAATGAATGCAAGTACAAAGGAGTGCATATGATTTTATCTTTATGAAGTTCTAAAGTAGACAAAACTCATCTATGGTGATAAATTCAGAATAGTTGTTACAGGTTGGGAGTATTTACTGAGAAGACCCATGACGGAGCCTCCTGAGTTGCAGGAACTATTCCAAATCTTAGTCTCAGTGGTGTTTACATGGGAGTAATCCTAAGTAAAACTTCATCCAATAGCATACTGTGCACTTAACTACATGTGTGTTTACCTCAATGCAATATAACACACAAAAAACTTCATCACATTGCTCAAGAGCTGATGATAATGCATGCAAAATGGATAAATGCAAACTAGGAGTATAGTATAAGGACATGTCAAGGCCCCTGACTCCTGGGTTTCTTTTATCAACTTGCAGATGAAGATGAAACATGCATTAGCTCTTGGTAGATCAACACTGATGCAGCTTCTATTCCTTTTAGGTCCTAAACTTAGGCATTGTCAAAGAAACATGTTTCTGTTTTAAGGAGATGCAAGGAAGATATTTTTTCTGCTAATACTTTCGAAAATACATTATGTTTTTCCATGCAATTCATTTCTGTAGCATATTATCTGCCAGTTTACTTTTTCTATCAAGGGAACAAAAACATCTTGTTGTGCCATTATTCTTGTGCCATACCATTTATCAGTAAATCAAGATTTGTATACTTTACCAAATATATGCTGTCTCAATACAATCTTTTTTTTTTTTTTTTTTTTTTTTTTTTTGACAGGCAGAGTGGACAGGGAGAGAGGGAAAAGAGAAAGGTCTTCCTTTGCCGTTGGTTCACCCTCCAATGGCCACCGCGGCCGGCGTGCTGCAGCCGGCGCACCACGCTGATCCAATGGCAGGAGCCAGGTGCTTCTCCTGATCTCCCATGAGGTGCAGGGCCCAAGCACTTGGGCCATCCTCCACTGCACTCCCGGGCCACAGCAGAGAGCTGCCCCAACCGGGACTAGAACCCGGTGTGCCGGTACCGCAAGGCAGAGGATTAGCCTAGTGAGCCGCGGCGCCGGCCAATACAATCTGTTTTTAATGGCCTCTGCCAACATTCCCAGGGAGGCCAAATCCACATCAAGCCTCTAGGACTCAGGCCCCTGCGATGGTCCGAGGGATGCAATTGCTCCCAACACAGCAGCTCCTCTCACTTCCTGTCATGCCATGGAGGCAGTTCCTTTCTATTTCCCGCAAGCATCAGACACCAGTTCTCAGCCCTTCCAACTACAGGGGCTGCTCACTAAGCTTTCCAAGCCACCCTCTAGGCACGTTTACTGGGTCTGAGGAAGAAGAAAACTTCATCCACATTGCAACATCTTATTAAGAGCTCACTTACACACAGTCCAGCAAGCTTGCACCTACATATCTCCTTGCAAACCCCTCTTCTACTTCATAACCTTGACTTCATATCTCATTGATGTGTAACGTCTAAGAAGCTTTCTACCAGTGTTAGATATTTGACAATTGGTTCTGTATTTTTGCCAACACTTTACTCTGGTACTCAGCATCTATGGATAGTGTTGGATGTTTTCATTAAAATTTCAATTGGGGGGGGGGGTGCAGGGCAGCGCTGTGGGTTAACGCCCTGGCCTGAAGCACCAGTATCCCGTATGGGTGCTGGTTCGAGACCCAGCTGCTCCTCTTCTGATTCAGCTCTCTGCTATGGCCTGGGAAAGCAATAGAAGATGGCCCAAGTCCTTGTGCATCTGCAACCATGTGGAGACCTGGAAGAAGGTCCAGGTTCCTGGCTTCAGGTAGGCCCAAATCCGGCCATAGCAGCCAGATGGGGAATAAACCAAAGGATGGAAGACCTCTCTCTTTTTCTCTCTGGCTCTCTGTAGCTCTTCCTTTCAAATAAATCTTTTTTTTTTAATAGGCAGTGTTTTTGCCCTTGCTAATTTTTTTTTTGACAGGCAGAGTGGACAGTGAGAGAGAGAGACAGAGAGAAAGGTCTTCCTTTGCCGTTGGTTCACCCTCCAATGGCCGCCGCGGCTGGCGCACTGCGGCTGGTGCACCACGCTGATCCAAAGCCAGGAGCCAGGTGCTTCTCCTGGTCTCCCATGAGGTGCAGGGCCCAAGCACTTGGGCCATCCTCCACTGCACTCCCAGGCCACAGCAGAGAGCTGGACTGGAAGAGGGGCAACCAGGACAGAATCCGGCACCCCGACCGGGACTAGAACCCGGTGTGCCGGCACCACAGGCGGAGGATTAGCCTATTGAGCTGCGGAGCCAGCCTCAAATAAATCTTTAAAAATAAATAAAACTTTAATATTAAAATTATTTATAATAACTTTAGGTTCAGGCCAATAAAATAAATTGACTATTTTTGATTGAGAAGAATGACAATTTCATAAAGTTCAAACTGTTTCATTCAAGATAGACTTAGAGAAACTGACTCTTAGGTCGGGTTTAAACAAAGGGGGAAAGTGCATTCTTCAGTGAATCCCCAGGCAAATACTGAAGTGCCTTCTGTGAAGCATCTTACCTTGGCTTTCAGATCAGCACACAACTCCTGTTGCCTTTTCCTGTCCTTGGCCAAGGTGCTTTCCATTTCATGAGTTGCACAAGCCTCTGCGAGGGTCAGCACAGCCCTCTGTATAAAGTCTTTCCTGTTCTTACGCCAATTTGACATCAGTATCCTTCGCTGCTCCCTAGCAAAGTGATATTGGTCACAATATTTCTCATGTTCAACCTGAAAAGACAACAGAGGGTAGACACTTATCATTAAAATGAACCTTTATTTTGTACCATTGTTATACAAATGAGTAAAATGAATAATAGCTAGTGACTTTTGAAAAACTGGGGGCAAACATCTTAGTAGTAAACCCAGAAACCAGGACCCAAATACCAGCTCCAGAGTACTGAGCTTCTGGCTAACTGGAGACAAGACATTTTATGTTTCTAAATCCAAAGTTTTTTCATATCAGGTGGAGTCTGAGCAGGTGGTCCTTAAAACAACCTTCACTTATAAATAGCAATGATGCCATGAACATAAAGCAATATTTCCACGCATACAATTTTTAGAATAACCTATCTTTAGTTTTAATATTTTCACAGTTGCATCTGATGTCTATTTAACAATGTGCTAATTTACATAAAATAATTACAATAATCCTGAAGAATCGGTTTTACCCTTCACTGCTGAAACACTCAGACAATAAAATGACTAACCATAAATTACTGCAGTGATGCTTAGCGCATGCCATCAAAGGGAAGCAGAGGCTTAGAAGGAAGAACAGAAGTGCAGAGAGCCTAAGCAGGTGATACTGGAATGCTCCCCATATAAGCTGGCTTGTCAAGGTCAGAGCCATTGATGTAACTCAGTCTTCCATTGGCCAGTATAGCCTATACCTCTGAATTTGATACATTGTTTCAACCCTAGGTGGCATGAGAAAAGAAGCATCAAACAGGATAAGGTAGATACCACCTAAAATATAGTAGGTATGATTAATTAAGCACACAAAGAAGCTGATTATGGTCTCAAACCAAGTATATAACCTACTAAAATCTAGTCTATGAGCTGCTTAGCTTTGTACTATAAAAGCAAAAATATTTAACATCTGTCAGACATTAGGAAAGGTAGCATAGTTCTCTGCAGCCCTATTCACAACAGCCAAGACATGGAATTAACCTAGGTGTCCATTGATAGATGAATAGATGAAGAAATTGTGGTACATATGTCTGATGGGATATCATTTAAAAATGAGTAAAATCCTGATATTTGCAGCTAAATGGATGGCACTGGAGGTCATTAAGTTAAATGAAATAAGCCAGACACAGAAAGATGAACATCACATGTCCAATCTCATGTGGAAGTTTTCTGGAAAAATGTTGATATGACCTTAGAATAGTGATTACTATTATAATATATATTAAATATTAATATTATATGTATAATTATATACAATATGTATAATTATATATAATATATAATTATAAAGAGGATAGGAAGAGCAGAAGGAGGACAGATAGAGGGAGATTGGGTAATAGGTACCAAAACACAGCCAGATAGAAATAGCAAGCTCTAGAGTTCCACATCATGGGAAAGAGGGGTGACTATAGTTCACAATAGTATATGAAATACTGTATAAAGAACTAGAAGAAAACAGTTGATAGGTTCCAAACACAAAGACAGAATCAGGAAATGGAAAGGCTAGTTGCCTGGTTTGATAGGCTTATGTTAAGTAAATATATTGAAATATAGCACCGTAGGGGCTGGCACTGTGGCATAGTAGGCTAAACCCCCGCCTGTGATGCCTGCATCCCACATGGGTGCCAGTTCATGTCCTGGAAGCTCCTCTTATGATCCAGCTCTCTGCTATGGGCTGTAAAAGCAGTAGAAGATGACTCAAGTGCTTGGGCCCCTACACCTGTGTGGGAGATGTGGAGGAGGCTTCGGATTGGCTCCGTTCTGGCTATTGTGGCCATTTGTGGAGTGAGCCAGCAGATGGAAGACCATTCTCTCTGTCTCTCCCTCTCACTGTCTATAACTCTGCCTCTCAAATAAATAAAATCTTTAATAATAAAAAATATTGTACTGTTCCCTTCCAATAATGTGCCAGTATTAGATGCTAAGGAACACTTTAACATAAATGAGACAGAGAAAGATGGCAGCTGAGTAAGATGATCTGGTAGACATCTCCCTGCAGACATAACAATTTCAACAGCTTTAACCTATCAAGGCATCATCACAAAAGCCAAAGAGGCCAGGTGAGAGGCCACAGTGCCCGTTTGTAGTATAATAATAATGCATTGAAGAAGACAGGAAAGAATTTCCACGTCACCTCTCCCAGCTCCAAGTGGCACAGGGTAAAGAGAAATGTCTCCCAATTTGGGGAGAGAGGAAATTAAGTCCCGATCTTAGACTTAAAAACCAGTACCAGGGCTGCTAATGTGGAACCCAGAATAGACAGATACCCAGGGCCTCTGATCCTAGGCCAGTACTTTCAGACTGGGCCTCTGGACCCTCAGTAGGCAGATGGCTACAAGACTATATCTACCTTGGCTTCCCCAACATAAAGCAGCCACTGGGCAGTAGGGTGGGAACATGACTTTTAAGACATTGCCTTGCTGAAAGGCCTGTGAGCATTTCAGACGTAGAAAGCCAAGACTCTGTGGCAAAAAATATCCTACATGAAGGATCTCTGTGAGACCTAAGTGGAAATAAAGGGTCATCAAAGAAGGATGTACTTTTTCTCTGAAGGGAGCAGAGGACATCCACTTTGCTTATGGCCATGTCCAAATACCGATGGAGTCTATGGTCACAAAAGGCTTATATAGCCTTGGCAGTCCATGGCAAGAGCCTCAGGTGATCACTGACATCATAAATAAGAGTGTTAATTGTTAAAGGAACAACAGAAGTCACTGTGTACCTACCCCCCATGTAGGACCTCCATCCTTTATGAGTTGTACTATGAGAATTGACTGTAAATCTTGTTCTCAAACTGTACTCTATATGTCATGTGTGTGTGGGCACAAACTGTTGAAATCTGTGCTTAACTTGGAGTTGGTCCTCTATATAAAATCAAACTAAAAATGAACCATAATAAAGGGGATGGCAGAGAGAGAGGGAAGTGGGATAGGAGTTGGGGTGGGAGGGTGGGTTTTGGGGAAAGAACCACTATATTCCTAAAGTTGTATCTATGAAAAATGCATTCATTAAATAAAAACTTAAAAAAGACATTGCCTTGAAGCTCAGAGCTGGAAATTTTACAGTAGGATCCAACACCAAATGAAACACAAATGTCTCTATTTGCAGGCCAGTATTCACAGATGCACCTTCTAGATCTACCCTGCATCAGGCAGAGACTAGTGCCCTGATAGGATGGATATGTTCTGGCCTGTATCACAACAAGTCTCATGCAGGCCTTATATACACCCTGAGACTACTCCAGGCCTGGAGACTAGGAAATTCAGGAGTTGTCCAGCTTAGTGTCAGCCTGGATGGCCAAGAGACTACTACTCCCAGTTATCCCCCAACCTCAGGCACACAGAAAGGAGTAAGACCTCAAATGGAGAGTGGACTAGGGAAATGAAAGGCTGTTTCAGGAGTTTGGCTTGAAGCTCAGTGCCAGTCCCACTGTAGTGAGACCAAGCACCATCTGGAAAGAGGTGACAAGCCTCCATCCCCAGGCCAGCACTCACATACTGAGCCTCTAGACCTGCCCCAACATGAGGTAGAGACCTACCCCTCGTAGGACAAATGAGGGTTTCAGCCTGAATCACCCCAGCCTGTCGCAGGCTTGACACATGTCTACAACACAGCACGAGGCCCTGTGGCTTTAAGACTCAAGTGAACCCAGCTTAGTGTCAGCCTGGGCAGTAAACAGACTTCTTTCACTATCCCTCTCCCAACCATGGACAGAAAACAAGGAGTGAGACTAGAATCACTGGGAAGCAGGGTACTGAAATGAGCACAGGAATGCATCTTGGATTTGGAAAAGATAAGACATTAGTAGAAAGATACTAATGATCCCTGTCCCCAGGTCAGCACCTACTAAAACCCCTTGACCTGCCCTGCTTCTGGGTGGAGACCTGGAGCCCCAGTCAATTGGACTTACATCCTGGCCAGCATCTCCTATGATTGTTACAGAAGCCTTGGGCTACAAGTCCACCTGAGCAGAATGCAGAATCCCATAGCAAAGTGGGTCATGGTCCTATACTGTGCCATGCTGGTCCTTGTGGGCAGTGGGCTCAGGGTATAATATAACTCTGGGATATATGTGGCTACAAGCCTGTTCACTCATTCCTCTCCCAACCTGACCACACAGCATAACATGGAGAGAGTAATTGATTGCTTGGGGGATGAAAAGCTAAGCAGGTACTCAAACATTGCATAGGAAAACCTGGCTGAAGTAATGTAAATTCATATATTCCTGCTGGACTTTGGCCCAGTGCTACTGGTGCCTTAACCATGTAGTACCCATGTGAACCCTCCAAGTCTCCAGCCCCATAATCCCACAATCCCAGACCTAGAGGATTCAGGCCCAATGCCCGTGTGACACTGAACCATGCCCTACAAGCTGCTATTGAGACAGCATATACAGCTGGGTCTGAGAGAGTGCCCCCCATGCTCCCACTCTCGATGTCAATTCCTGTGGAAGAAGCTTCGTTGAGACTATATTATAGCATCCAACTGGAAATAAAGCCAAAATAGCCTACCAGTCATCTGATAACAAATCTCAGGAAAAAGTCATGTAGCACAAAAGCCACTCATTGAAAGTAACAAAAACAACTAATCTACCAGATATACAAAAATCAATGTAGGGACAGAAGAGGTAGGAAAACTAAAGCAGTACGATGCTCCCCAAAGGAATACAACAATGCTTTAGTAATGGATTCCAAAGAAAACGAGATTGATGAAATGCCTGATAACAAATTCAACAGAATAATCATAAGGATGCTTACAGAGATACGGTAGAATCCAGAAAATAATACATGATATGAATGAGAAATTCAGCAAAGAGATAGAGGTATTGAAAAAGAATGGCTCACATTCAGAAATCTACCAACAATAAATGCTGGAGAGGATGTGGGGAAAAAGGGGCACTAACCCACTGTTGGTGGGAATGCAAACTGGTTAAGCCACTATGGAAGTCAGTCTGGAGATTCCTCAGAAACCTGAATGTAACCCTACCATTCAACCCAGCCATCCCACTCCTTGGAATTTACCCAAAGGAAATTAAATTGGCA